TACATTCCCGTCACACTCTGTAACCCTTCATAGTAACATTTTGTCTAGAGTGACCTCAGCCAAATATCTGGGTGTTACTGTCGATAATGATCTTCGGTAGTGGACACGCATTCAGAACTGTGGGAAAACTTCGGCGCCTCTCCTTTCAGCTCCGAAAGCTCAGACAATTTCGCACTCCCTAACAAACCTTATTCTCTTCTTTTGTTAAACAATGCGGTCTCCCTATTTTACTTTACTGCATCCCTGTAGTGCTTCCCGGTCTATTGAAACAAGACTTTAAAGCAGTCCGTCGTGGATTAATGATGATAAGCGGTGCATCTTTAATTTCTAGTTAATCATTAATCACAGAATTTGTTAATAGTCATATGAAGTCGTGTATGTCCTTTGCCAATAAGATTCTAAACTACTCCTCCCATCATTTGCATCTTGACTTATCTTCTTGTTGCCCCCATTGATAAAAATTCCACTGTACCGTATCTGGTTCGCATCTTGACCAACAAGGAACAAGTTATAAATGAATCGAGTCGATTGTTAATTAGATGAATCAAACTTGAGAGACATTTACTTTTTTTACACAGCATGATATGTCGATGAAATATTATGTTTTGTGGACAGCAACGTCAAGGTTTCCAACTTGCTCAGGACATTTAATTCCGCTCATCCCAACATCAAGTTCACATTGGAAGAAGAGGTTAATGAAGGGATTGGTTTTCTCGATATCTGACTAAAGCGTTCTATTCAGAGATCGATTTATAGGAAAACGACTTAGAGCGGCCAGTATCTCCAGTTCAGAAGCTTTGTGCCACTCAAACGAAAAATAAATCTTATTCAGTGTTTGGTAAACAGGGCGGTAAAAATATGCATCGATGACACCATAAATGCAAAATTACCATTCATTTGTGATGTTTCCTACACAATGGCTATCCAGAACGTTTTGTGGATAACGTCTTGCGAAATAACCGTCCGAGGGAAAAAAATTCAAGTGCAGAGAAGAAGACAGAATACATTGCTCTCCCTTTCAAAGGGGATACAATCGCAGAATTGGTTAGCCGCAAACTAGGAACTGCGTTGGAGAATATTTTTCATGCGGCAAAATTACGTATCATATTCACGTCTAGACCGATCTTGTGGTCGCAACCCAAAGATAAGATTTCTGCTTCTGCAGTCTCATTTTGTGTGTACCAGTTTACGTGTTCCTGTGGAGCAACGCATGTCGGCCGCACGAGCATGCGCCTATCTACACGAGTTCGAGAACATCATCCGGCCTGGCGGAACACTGGTGTGCTTAAAACTATCACAAGTGCCATCGTTTCACACCTCGTCGAGTCCGATCACACAGTGAGTGTGATTGAAGCATTTCGGCCTCTCTACTGTGTTCGAGGTGGCAGACCAAAGCCGATTAAAAATCGTAGCCTAGACACCACATAGGCGGTCGGGATTCGTCTACATAATCCCCCCTTGTGCGCCCAAAAACAATGCGTGAATTCACTGAACCTACCATGGCCCCCCTCCACCTCCCCCATCCTCCCCCACCCCACCCCACTTCCTCCTCCCCCT